AGGTGCCACTGTATGTACAGACTCGACTCCATCGTGAGCATCGCTGCTACGGTATGGGCAAGCTGCACAGGGAAGCCACCCGTTTCTCCCGGCATACCGCCAGACGGCCAACCTGCAGCTTGGGGGCCGCGGGTCCGTTTTGATGGCCGTCTCCCGCCCCTTGCCCAAGGACTCCGAGCCGCAATGCGAAGTTGCCACTTCCAACACCATCACCGCCAGTTCGGACAAGCCCAGCTTGTCCGCCTTAACAAGGATGTCGGGAGGGATTCTGCCAATCAAGGCATCCCACGCATCTAAAGTCTTGATGGCCTCTGCATTGCGTCCCAATTCCAAGCCGGGAGGTACTGGCAAGACTGGTTTGACTTTATCTGGTATAGATTGGTATTCCTCAGACGGCAAACCGAGATGAACTGAGGGAAGAAGAAGAAGAGGCGGTGGCAACACCTTGGCACCTGGCCTATTACAGGCCATCATTGCGAGTGATACGAGTGGTAGTACTAGGTATCTGTCTTGCCATCGTCGCACTTGATGCCTGCTAGGCTAGATGCCACCCCGCAATCTCATCTCGGGCTTCGATAGCTGATGCAAAAGCGGTGCAGGTTGATGACATCCGAAGCACGTCCGTGCTCCTGCCGGTCTGCTAGCATGCGCATATGTATGCACGTCTCATCCAGAATGTTGACAGATGTCATGAGCCATCTGCCTGAGCAGAGCTGCGACTCGAGTGTGACACGCATGGCCATTCCATCCATCCGCTGGCCAAAGGGCTGTCGGACCCTTGCTGGCATACTACGTGTCGATATGCTTCTTCGCCAAGCTGCTAGTAACGCACCGGAAAACCTGGCTTATCAACCCGGCCGGCTCTCTATTACTTTGTGGGGTCAAAAACCTACATTCACACTTGCTTCGCTTCCCTGATTCCAGAATGCCAGCGAACACGACATGACAGGACAGCCGACCCTGCGGCACTGGAGCGGGTCAATCAACCACATGCAAAGTCCTTGTCCTTGTCCTTGTACGAGAACAAGGGCATCCGTTGCGCCTCACATTTGCGCCGGATTGCTCGCCAACCCGCCGACGGAGCTCTAGAAGAAACAGGAGGAAAATGCGATGGGCACATGGATCAACTTGGACGGAGACGGGGGCCAGTATTAGCTGGCAAGACTCCCCGCCGGATGGATCTGCGCGGGGACGGTCCGGAGGGCTAACATGGCGCCCCCGTTCTGCTGCTGGAGCACACACGAGTAATGCCGCCCTGGGCAAACCGCCCTTTTTGCATGAATGCTTCGTCCCCTGACTAGCATACGAGTATACTACGACTACGAAGGCAGCTTTGTCGCTGATGTCCGTGGCCTGCCCTGTGAGTGCGGCCAACTATTACAAGCAGAGGACGGAGAGAGGGTCCTTTCGCGCCGTTGTGTGCCGCTGCGTCCCGTTTCTCGGTCTCGATCTGGATTGCGTTTGGGGTAGATTAGGGCTGGATGTTTAGGGTTCTCGACGATTGGGGACCGCTTCCAGACGCGCAGCGGTTTGTCTCATTGCGAAGCAAGCGGCAGAGTCAAGAGGGCGTTGTTCAAGGCTATTAGAGCCTACAGTAGGTACAATACGGTAGAGCATGGCATTGTGTCTCTAGAGTGAAGCCGGCCTGATCCACCATCTCTGATGGAAGTAGATTGATCAAGATGGGGGCAATGTCTCGAAGTACAAGCGCTATACATCTTCCTTCGTAGACTTTCCTCTTCTCCTGATGAATAGGGGGGGCGATGGTACATCAATCAACTCATCAAGTTTCGAGTCAGTACGGGCTCGAGAGTGGGTAAATGTTCAAACGAGGGTTCCCGACGACAAAAGTTTGCGTGTAGATTCCATTCCACCTCATTTGCACCTCATATGGCTTGATAGTGGCGCCATGAGCGCAGGCAACTCAACCTTCTGTGTCCCATCTTTCGTCTACAGTGCATAATTTGACTTTGTTTTTACCCCCTTGAGGAGCGAGACCGGAGTCGATTGCACCATTGTTTCCAAGTGTTTTGCATTATAAGTGGCTGGCTGTATCAACGCAACTGTTATGTAAAGATTATGTGCTCGGATTCTCACAAGGAGATGATGCCTTTTGAAGGTGTAGTTTCGTCATGACAGACTTTCGATTAAGCAGTTTACTCTTGGATTTTCCGTCTACTCTAGAGGCTGACTGTACTCGCCCAGGCATTGACGTAAACTTGAAAGAAACTCGGTCATATATTCTGTTGCTTTTTAGAGGTTGTATATGGCTTTGTTCGTGCGTGTGAATCATCAGTGAGACGAAGACGGCCTTTGGCGACTGATCCCTTCAAGTTCCGTCATCCATTCATCAAGGGGCAAGTCGAACGATGGCAGATCCAGCGAGCTTTCATCCGTGACTGTAATACTCGATCCAGCCGTTCCTCTCCCGTCATTCATCTTGAAATCCCCGTCTTGCGGCCGAATCGAATGGTAGTCCATTGCGACGCACTCGCCAAGCTCCATATCAGGCGGACAACTCGTCTCCAGCTGCTGCGAGGCGGCCACCCTGAGCGCAATCTGCAGCGACGCTTCGTACAATTGCTCAAGCCTCTCATCGGCGTCCTTTGGGTTCAAAAAGCGCGTCACAATGGGCCGAGAGACGTGCCATTCCTTCCAAATCGTTCGCAACGCCCCGAGATGGCCTAGGAGAGTGATGTACGATTTATACATGCCGTATGCTTGGGCCGTAGGAACCTTGCTCTGCTCGCCGAGATGGAAGAGGGAGAGAGCGCGGAAGGATTCGCTCGAAAGTGAATGATGTTCGTCAATGCCGGTGAGCAGCTGCAGAAGCATTTGTCGATCGTGAACGGTGCACAAGCCACCGATCCCTTGACCGCTCAGATGCTGCGTGAATGCCTTTAGGGCTCCTCCGACGTCGTTTGATGAGGAAGCGCGCTTTTCCCATGTGCGAATCTCGAAACCTCGATGCAGCCATTCAGATGTCGCTTGGACAATGCCCGCCGATGCGGAAAGTCGAAGGGCCAGCCCGATCAAGGCGGGAGGGAGCGCTATGCCGTCGAGGGAGAGTCTCGCGCCGAGATTCCCAAGGAAGCCCAGGATTTCCAGATGAGCGGCTGCTTTGTCAGGATGTTGGTCGAGGACCTGGAAACAGGCGTTGCGTATTGCCCGGGGGACATGTTCTTCTGTAATACCTGAATCATTGCTGGGGTGCCTTCGATTGAGAAAGTATGTCTTTGCTGCTCCTTCGAAGCTTAGGCTGTGGAAGACCAGTCGACGGATGCCGGTGATGGATACTTGGGCCTTTAGAGCAGCAGTCAGCTCGGACGGTGACGACGGTGGCTCGCTTCGATTTGCGATGCTGCGGTGGAGGCTCTTGTACCGCAATATCATCCACTCCAAAAGGACCTGGTCGTCTTGTAACGCATGAGGAGGGATTCCGTTCTCCCGACAAAGTGTCTTGAGAAATGCCGGATCCTGCCTTGATGTCGATCTCTCAGGAGTTGAAGAGGATCCTGAAGTCGGTGCAGGAGCTTCGACGCCATCGATAGCCGTTGGTTGGCAGCGAAGAGCCGCCGAGAGGACATCGTGAGAGTTGAGTCTCCAGATGTTTGTCGGATTCGACAAGATCTCGTCTGCTTTCCGCCGTGACTCGGCGATTTGCTGCCGCAGTTCCTCCAGCTGTTTCTGGGCCTGCGTTCTCCTCGGATGGACGTCCCATTTCCTCTCCAACCGCCGCTCATCGCTCTCGTCCACCTGGCGTACAAACGGGCTCTCCTCTGCATCGAGGTCCAGCAGCAGATCCGGCATCTCAAAGAAGTCGTCTCTGACGGGAATCGCATCCGGCGACTTGGGAGGCCGCTTGTTGGCTATGGTGTAGTAGACCTCGTTGTTCTTGTCGAGTCTCCGCACAAAGGCCCTGCATCGCTTCTGGTTACGCGCCACAGAGCGCTGAGCTGAGGTTGTAAGTCGGAGCGTCCAGACGCTTTTTGAGAGTATCATGTTGAGCGGCGTTTTGATGTAAGGTGAGCCCCCCATAAGATGCTCGATTTCCAGGCTTTTTCCTGGTCCTTCAGGGGCCAGTTATCGTGAGCAAAATATGAGGTTGCATCGGGGGTTTGTCGAACACATGGTGAAGACGGCACGGCACAATATTACCTACCACCTTATACGGAATGCCTATCTTACCTTACGGCTCAAGCAGCAGGTACTGCTCCAGCGAGCCAAGCTACAGCGGCCGCGGAGGTACCCAACGCTTACCCCGGATTCCGCTAAATCGTCAGCGGATCCGCGCTGGATCTCCCACTAAAACAGAGCGCTGAGGCGCTGCAGCTGGTTCCATACTCTCAGTGGGCTGAGGCTGTCGGAGGCCGCAGTCACGTAATTCCGTGTCTTTGACCCAACGCAATCTTAGTACTAGTACTACTAGTAGTAGTATGATCTCGGACAGTGAGGCGTTCGAAAGGTTTCTCCAAGTAACACCAATCTACGTCCAATTCTACATCCCGGCCATCTCGAGAGAATTCATCACCCTCGCCAGACTGTATCGCTGCGAACATTATTGCAGAAAAGTCATCTGATAGTTGACTTGTCATCTTCTGCCACCATCGACGTCAACCCGAAATCAAACGCCTTGTCTTGATACACCGGCCATCGCGTCTTATCTCGCTTCCAAGGCTTCATCAACTCGCTTGACAACAAGCCCACTGATTATGGCGCCGCCGGCAAAGAAGAGACGCACCAGGGCCGCCGCAAAGGCCGAAGCCGCAGCTGCAGCGGAAGAGCAGGCACAACAGTCAATAGCTCCCGAAACCACAGCCCAAGAGCCTCAGGTCGAAGAGCCTCAGGTCGAAGAGCCTCAGGTCGAAGAGCCTCAGGTCGAAGAGCCTCAGGTCGAAGAGCCTCAGCCCATCGAAGCGACAGAACAGCCACAGACTGTCGAAACAACGGAAGAGGACCAGCCTATGGAAACAATGGAAGAATCCAAGCCTGTGGAAACAATGGAAGAATCCAAGCCTGTGGAAGCTCTTGAAGAACCCCAACCTGTCGAAGCCGCTGAAGAGTCCCAGCCCGTCAAAGACGCCGAAGCCCCTCAGCCCGTCCAACCGGCTCCCGAAGCGACTGCCGAAGAGAGCAAGAAGAGCGAGGAGGATGCTGCAGCCAAAGCCAAGGACCGCATGGCTCGGTTCAAGGCGCTTCAGGCCCGCGCCAAGAAATCATCAGAAACCAACTTCAAGGAGGCCACCCTAGAATCGCAGCGCCTCTCCACGAACCCAAGCGAGCTCACTGCTCTGCATCGAAGGCACGCGATTGCGTCCCACAAGCTGCTTAAGGCAGACACCGAGGAGGCTGGCGAGGACTTTGAGCGGAAACGCGCCTGGGACTGGACCGTGGACGAGAGCGAAAAGTGGGATAAGCGCATGAAGAAGAAGGGGGCGCACCGCGACAACAACGCCTTCCAGGACTACCACCAAGAGGCCAACAAATCCTACAAAAGGCAGTTGCGCAACGTCAACGTCGATCTGGAAAAGTACGAGAAGCAGAAGATGGCCGCTATCGAAAAGGCTGCGGCGTCAGGTGGCCTAGATATCGTGGAGACGGAGGACGGCGAGCTCATTGCCGTGGACAAGGACGGCACCTTTTACTCGACGGCCGACACGACGTCTTTTGCGCAGAACAAGCCCGACAAGGAAGCCGTCGATCGATTGGTCAAGGATCTCCAGCGCGCAGAGGAGGTCCGGCTCAAGAAGCGAAAGGAGCGCATGGCGCAGAACGGCGAGGACGGAGATGTCACCTACATCAACGAGAAGAACAAGCAGTTCAACCAGAAGCTGTCTCGGTTCTATAATAAATACACAGCCGAGATCAGGGACAGCTTTGAGCGCGGCACTATGATCTGAGGCGCTGATCCGGGTATGGATATAAGGACTCAAGTATATGAGAAGGGGGTTTTCTGTTATTGTTTCTCAAGATTACACTGCACATATAGACGCACAGCAACTTTGCATTTTTAATGACACATGGACTCTGTTCATTTACAGCATTGTCTTCCTCCAGCCCTTTGCTGCAAGCTCCTCAATCTGCTTCAGTTCGACTGGACCCTTTATCGTTTCATCTGCAAGTGCCTCGACGACGGCTTCTGCAACCGTCTCAACCTGGAGAGGCTTGGTCCCTGCCGCGCCCATGAAGCCCTTGAGGATGTTTCCTGTCAAGCTGTTGAAGACGGACGCCGCGCCGGCTGCCGCAGCGATGCCCATGGTGATCTTGCGTGAGCTGTCATACATGAACGGAGGCCGCATGAAGATGCCGCGCATCTCGGGGAAGTTGGTGGCGATGGCATTCTCGGCCTCTCTCTTGGTGGAAATGTATCGCTGAGGCAAGACCGGCGCCCCGGCCGCGGCGGAAATGTAGCAGAAGGCACTGGTGTTTTCGGCAGCGGCGTGCTTGGCTAGTGAGATGGCGCTATCGCGGTTCATGACTTCGTACGACAGCTGATCCTTGGGGTTGGGAGGCTTGATGGCTGCTCCGGGCTGACTGTGGATGGGGTCGACGCCCCTGTCCCGGGCCGAAGCAAAGGCCTTTTGTAGCCCTGTGATGGGAGACTCGCGGCCTGAGATGACGCCTTTGTAGTCTGCCTCGAGGAGGATGCCGAGGCTGTGGACGACGTAGTCTGAGCCTTTGAGCAGAGGTGCGTATGTTGAAGGCTCGAGGATGTCGGCGCGCTCCCAGGATACTTTGTGAGCCCATGGAGGGGGTGTTGCAGATGACGATACTGTGTCCCATCGAGGCTCGCCCGAGCGACTGTTTTGATGTGGCGAGTTTTGTGTAAGCCATATATTCACAGCGGCTTTTATTTGGATGATGTTGATGGACTGAACTTGTAATAAAGGTGATATGCATGGAGTTTAACAATAATTACCTGATTGATGTCACATCCCAGCCTCTGGCTACGGCATATTTGCAGATGCGGGAGCCCAAGAAGCCGTTGCCTCCACAGACTATGAGCTTCTTGGCCGCTGCTGACATGACTGGTGATAGTGGTGCGATTCAATGGGGGCGGCGGTTTGTAGCTGGAGATGGCGATGACACAAACGGCCTTTTGACTGGTGTTATTGTATTTTTTCTGCAGTGGTGATGGTGAAAGAATGACAGATGTGAGTCAAGAGGGAATCATGAAACTTGCATTGACAACCGGAGCATGTGAAAAAGTCGATGAAATCATGCATCACGCCTCAGTGAGGTAAGAGCAAGAAGCTCAGCCCACAATGAGGCTGAACGCCTCGAGCTGCCAAGAGCTTGGGCCATACGCGAATCTCATTGGCCAACCAAAATAATGGGTCCCGATGACATTTCTGCAAGGCTGAGAAAGCACCAGCGCTTTTCTTTGCCCTTTCTCTCCAGATCACCGTGAATGCGCCTTCCCCTTCTCTTATTTTGTTTTGCAAAAGTTCCCATCAAAACGCGCGACTTTCTGTCTGCGCCCTCTTCAAATCCTCACCATGGCGCCGTCGAACCAGTTTGGCAAGCGCGTCAAGCTGACGCAGGTCCGGCGGCCGTTTGTCGTCGGCAGCACAGCGCTCCCCTTCTCGGACACGAACCCGCGACCGCCTGGGACGCCTGATAACCACACGCACTCATGGCAGGTCTTTGTGCGCGGCCTGGAGGACACGGACATTACGTACTGGCTGCGGCGCGTCCAGTTCAAGCTGCACGAGTCTATTCCAAACTACGTTCGAAGTAAGTTCTCTTTGGCTCTAGAATATGGTCCGGTTTTCGGCGGAGTGGCGCACGTGGCTAATCGTCGTCGTTGTTGTTTCTACCAGTGGTCGAAGGAGAGCCCGGCAAGCCGTTTGTCGTCAACGAGACGGGCTGGGGAGAGTTCGACATCACGATCAAGCTATACTACGTCAACGACTCAGGCGAGAAGCCGCAGACGCTGTACCACTACCTGCGCCTCCACCCCTACGGCAGGACCGAGGAGGAGAAGCAGTCGATGCTGGCGGCCAACGGCGAGGTCCGCGCGTGGAGCTACGAGGAGCAGCTCTTCAACGAGCCGTACGAGGCCTTTTACCAGATCCTCACCAGCGGCGCCGTGCCCAAGGGATGGAAGCCGGCGGCAGGAGGAGGAGGAGCAGCAGCAGCAGGCGGTAAGGGCAAGGGCAAGGGCAAGAACCGCGCGCCGCCGCCGCTGCCCGCGCCCGACAGCGGCGAGGTCTGGGAGCGGACGGCCATGATCCCGAACACGAACCGCCCCGGCCAGCCCTTTAGCCGGGAGACGGAGGCGGCCGAGATCAAGAAGCTGGCGGACGCGCAGCAGAAGACGGAGGAGATGACGCGGCAGCTGCTCGCCGAGCTCAAGAAGAAGGAGGAGCAGCTGGCCAAGCTCAAGGCGGAGAACGCGGCGGCGGCGGCGGCGGTGGCGGCCAAGACTTCGTAGAAAGGAGTTGCGCCTTCATCGCCGCGGCCGGTGCGGAACCGCAAGAAGCGCCGCCGGGATTCGTCGTGATGTCGGTTTGGAAACAAGCCTTGCCCGACAAGCCCGGAGCCGAGGCCGGACGAGTCGAAGCCGTGGGATGAGCAAGAGGACCATCCGGGCTGTTTAGCGACACTGTATGCATATTCGGCACCAGATCCCCCGCTCCCGTCACTCTGAGCTTGGGGGCAATGGGGAGCTGCCAATGTTTGTTTCAAGCATGATACCGACACCACAAGCATGCCATCTCCGGGCTTGCCTTTGGTTGGGCCAGCCGCTTGCCAGCGCATTGGGCCACCGTTGCGTTCCACCCCTTTCTTTCCTTGGAAGTCTCTACGCAAGCAGCATGAAAGGGCACTGGTCTTTGAGCGAGGGGCAAGCAGCATTTTCCGCAAGGCCGCAGCAGACGGCCGCATGAAAATGAGGGGAAGAAGCCGAGTCAAGCGCGATATTGTCACCAATGGCAAACCACCTACTACCGAATTCACAATGTTGACGGCCCCCTTCTCGATGGGATTTTTTTTGGGTGGGGGGGATTGGCATCCGTTCCCCCAAAACTAATGAGCAGGGTTTATGGAGATCTACTAGAGATTTCATACTTTGCACGACTTCAAACCCCCCTCGATCCATCTGGTTTAGCTATATCATACGAGAAGAGTTCGGGGCAAGAGGAGAAATCAAAGAAAGAGGGGTTGTCAGGTGAAAGGACCGTGCAAACGAGTCACCACCACCACCACCACCACCACAACCGCTGAGACACCATTACCCGCTCTAGCTGCATTGGCCTCCATCTCCCTTTCAAGCAGTACCATTGGGCAAGACACACAAAAAGTGAGGGGAAGTGAAGATGGGCATCAGATGGTCGGTCGGGCCACAAAGACAACGACGACGACTACGACGACAGCGGCACAGACGCATGAACCCCACCGCTTTGAGGTCGTTTATGCCCTACCCTTTTGTTGTGGGTAACAGCTGCATAGTAAACCAATCTGATAACAGATACCCAGCTTCTACTACTACATCGTAAATACAGTAATATATGAGAGATATATGTAAAGTGCTCGCCCTAAGCGTGAACCAAGCACCCAAGAATAAGTCATGTCTGCTGCCCCCTCTCTTGTGCCTCCCCCACCTCTTCAATTTTGACCTTGAGGATTCTGGCAAGTGATCATGTGGACAGAAATATATACAAAGTAGTGTGGTTGTTACCTACTCTCCCTACATGGAGATGTCAGGACATGTATCCATATTGTTTCAGACTCTGGACGCCTTTTAACTAGTATCGCTGTGAATATTCTTCGAATTGGAGTTGTGTCTGTTTGTCTGTACCTAGTAGTAATATCTCGACCCCGCGAATCCACACACTCAATGCGCCCCCCAGAACCAGCTCCCAATAGTATCCAATAAATCGTACAAGTACACGATGATAGTACACAGAAACTTGGTACTGTAATAGTTGTACATTCTGTCAGTGCGCTCAACAAGAACGGAAGAGAGACATCAGGAGAAGAACATAAAAATAACAGATTGAGTTATACAGTGATATGCCTTGGGAACGCTCAACGCTCAGACAACGACAGATAAACGCCAGCCAAATCATGAGGGTGCAATGCCCAGGGACTGTCATGAAGGAATCCCGCTGCTCGAAATGCCATGATGTCCAGGTCCAAGGGCTCACAATCTCCATATCATACACGCCCGAATTGGCACGGCTGGCCCACCAAAAGAAGGGAAATGAAGGAGAGAAAAGGACAAAAGAAAGTCAAAAAAGGCACGCATCCATCAAGTCGTACACGCCCACTTGCTTGCAGACGGCTCCATAGAGAGGGAAAGGGGGGGGGCAGCAGACCTCTCGAGAAACACGGAAAAAGTGACACACTTCTTTTGGACCCAATCGTCTTGTTCAAAGTGCATATCCGGGTATCAAATCATGCAACCAAAACAAAAAAACACCATCCCTGAACCCCCCACCCCGGTTTTTTAAATCCTAGCCAATCTTTGTTTTCTTCTGCTCTTCCTCGCTTGCTTCTGCTTTTTGATCTTCCTGCCTGCCCTCTTCGTCCCGCTGCGTACGAAATTTTTGATGATGCGTGCCCTGCATTCCCCATGACCCCTCTCTTGATAAACGCCGAGGTACGAATAGACCAATGTGGTGAGCGTACGTGCATGTTGTGTATGCCATCAAACAAAGAAAATGAAACAAAAAAAAAAACAAGTCTAGTCCAATCTGTATGTCCGCCAAACGGTTTCAAAACAGTGTGAACAAGGCTGTACAAGGGACGAGGAACATTCAGGCTGGAATGCGCATATCACGTCCTCACTGCCCAAGGCTGATGTGAGAGCTCAATGGCATGGAGACTGGGGTGATGCCTCGTATGCTGGGGGCGGGGCATCCTCCGCCTCGTTCCACTTGCCCCGTTGCTGGGACCGCTTCTCATCGTAGACGCGGCGTGCAATCTCGCTCGCCATCTTCATGACCCAGTCTTGGTCCAGGACATCAGGCGATGTTTGGGCCGCGGCGCCAGCCGCCTCCCGAGGGCTGCCCTTTTCGAGACTCGGCCTCCGGCTGTTGGCCGTGGCGTCGGCAAACATCTTCAAGTCCTTCAGGGCCGAGGTGAGCTCCTCTAGCGTGGGCGGGTTCTCGCCAACGTCGGGGACGAGCGTCTGTGGGGTGAAGTGGTCGCCGGTGAAGTGGTCATCCTGCAGCTCATCTGCCTCTGGTATCGAATTGTCAAACAGCGGCTCCGAGAGGGGAACATTGACAGAAGTGGGCGTGCTGGTTCCAGCTTCGGATTGGCTCTCAGGAGTTACGGCTTCAGACTTGGTCTTCCTGAGATTGACCACGCGGTTCTTCTTCTTGCGGCCGGGCCGTGATCGAGGATTGCCACCTACACTGAGGCCCATGGAGGAGTTGACGCTTGTAAGTGTCGGCCGCGACGATATTGAGCCATGAAGCGTGCTTCCTGTGTCGGAAAATGTATATGTTGTGCCCGTGGTGCCAGTGTATGAGTTCGTCCGGACTCGGCTTGGGGATGAGACAGATGGGGTAGCGACGTCGTTGCGATCGGCACAGCCCGACCAGGCTCGGAATACAACGTCTCGTATGCCGGGCGTAAACAGAGACAGGGTCCGATGTGAATCTGTGAGCGCTGCGAGACGCAGCAGGTTCTTCTGGGAAAAGAGAGACTGTGTCTCGCCTCCGCCATTCAGAGAGATTTCGGAGATGGCGCTTGGGTCCAGCACGTTGCCATTGGCATCGACAGGGTCCAGAGGCGGGCTCGATAGCGGGTTGACTCCTTCTTCGTCCGTCTCTTCTTTGGGGGTTTCGACGCCCTTGTTGGCCTGATCGGGACACCACAGTTGCAGGGACAGTCGATGGATGATCGCCGGCAGCTCGTCCATCATCAGGTTCCGCAACTGCTGCTCAATGGTCCGCTGCAGATAGTCCCGCACGAACTGTATCGAATCAAAGGTCGAGGAGACCTTGAGCGACTCGAGTGGGTCATTGCGAAACACCAGGGTCAGTCCTTTCTGTTTCGAGAAGACCAGGATGATAAAGGCCGATAGCTTGATTTCGGACAGGGTGATGGAGAGGGGGATCGTGAGGCCCGATGCTGCGGCCAGCGGCTGTGGCGAGGTAAACTCCGGCTTGGAGAAGAGGTAGGTGTTGAGGGGATTCGCCTATCATCGTTCGCGTTAGCCATGCACTGCTCCGGACATCCAAGGCTGCTTATGCGTAGCACTGCCAGCCAATCTCTCAAAAGGAACTGCTTCTTCAGCTGGTGGGAAAGGTGTGCGTTGCACAGAGCTAGCAGAATAGCGGCAATGCCGGCAATGGCAAATTGCATCCCGGCAGAGCGGTATTTCGAAGCTTCATGCCCAAGCTTGCCAGACACTCGTCCAGCCCATTGCCACTTTTCGATGCGGGCGGACTGCTGCCTCGAGCAATTCTCCCAAAGAAGGATCTCGGCTTTCGAATGCATTGTCGTGGTGGCGCCAGCTTTAATTTGCTTCGGGCATTATCGGGTTTTGACGCGGCGCGAAGGGAAGCTTCATGAAGCCGGAAAAAAAAATCGGTGGTGCAGGGATAGAGCATGAAGCTCTGTGTGTTCCAAGCAAAAGCTGCTGCCAAACGTACCTGAACCCGCGTCTTGAGCGTCAAGTA